ATATGTAAGCATATGCATATGAAAAATAATGCGATCATCGACACTAACCGCATATAAATGAAAACTGACTAATGTTAACAAGTGAAATGTGGATCCAGAAAGTGGTAAAGGCCTGTGCAAGCTTTGGGAGCGCTGATGGAAGCCATCTACTGCAGCTTTGCTTTGATAATATTACTGAATATGATCCAGATGTAGTATTGGATAAAAATGCGATTTTCTCAACTTTTTTGCTCAAAATGTTTCTTTTTTATGAAACCTACCTACATTCAAGTGTTGATAAAAAAACAATGCTTGAAGCTAGAATAAAACAGATGTTTTTGTTTGAAAGTAGAGTGTCTGATGCATGTTCAGATATTCATACAACAAAATATTCTGGGGGCCATGAAATTTCAGTGAAAATCAGCAAAAACGCTGGCGGTGGCTGGCAACTTTTTTCAGAAACGCTTGCTACGGATGCGACAAACACAGAAAATCGAACCCGATCCAAATTTTTTTTAATGACGGACGAAAGTCTCGGAGACTGTGTGTAAACGTGATTGACACAACGTGAGGTCGTTATTATTTTTCAACGTGCACAAATGTCGGACTCTGTGTGCAAAGACCTTAAATCTGCGCAATATTGCAAAAAACAGAGATTGTGATACATAGTTTTTCTGCAGCATGAAAATACAGGGATTTTTACCAGATGACTTGAATAGCTCTATTTGGAAAGAATTAATCATTCGAGAATGAATGGGGTGGAATTTGAAAAAAAAAAAAAACTGAAATATTTGATTGTTCACACTTGAGTTTAATATTTAGAAGAACTAGGGCTGGGTGATATGAGCAAAAATTCTCTGTATTTTTGGGGGTATATTTGTGGTATATTTTTTATTTATAATATGTATTTTATATATATATATATATATATATATATGTATATATAATATAAATATATATATTTCACATCCTGCCCAATATTGTCCAACGAAACAATGCATATAATGTGCATATTATGGGTTAAAATCACATTGCATTCTAACATTGTAACATTGCAATCTAAAAACAAAAATAATGCTTTTACAGCAGAAGTTAAGTTCACTAAGCTAAAAATGAAAACAATAAAAAAGCACAGACTAATTGAGTAAAAAGGCTATTTTGATTACCCCACTGTTGATTTTAGCATTAAAATCACTAATGAAAAAAACGCTAATTAAAGGAATAGTTCACCCAGAAATGTAGCATTGCATCAGTGTCTCAGCAATGGATGCTCTGCAGTGAATGGGTGCCGTCAGAATTAGAGTCTAAACAGCTGATAAAAACATCACAATAATCCACAAGTAATCCGCAGCACTCCAATCCATCTTGTGAAGTGAAAAGCACATTTTTATTTTTTAGTAAAAAATTTTTTACTGCAAAAAATGATTTTCTTACTTAGTATTTTTGTTTTGTTTTCTAGTATAAATATCTAAAAATTCTCCAATCATGATGCATTTACTTGACAAGTAAAATGACTTCAGATATTATGTCTTGTTTGCTGAAAAAAATATCAACATTTTGTTCATTTTTGCTTAAAACAATGGGGCAAGAAAAATATTCTTGTTTAGCCTTTGAATTAATTACCCCATTGGCAGATATTTTTGCTTGTTTTAAGCAAAAATGAACAAAATGTTGATAATTTTTTTTAGAAAACAAGACTTCAAATCTTAAGTCATTTTACTGAAAAAATGTTTAGATATTTATACTAGAAAACCAGACAAAAATACTAAGCAAGAAAATATTTTTTTTGGCAGAGTTTCAGTAGAATGTTTTTCTGTATGGTCCTGTGCAATATAATGCTGGAATGATGATGATAAAGCACTGATTGTCATTACTGAAGCGAGCGGAGTCTGTCTGAATCAGTGAATTAGTGAATCAGTGAATCAGTAGTGACTCTCTGTGTGTTTCAGGTCACGGAGCTGGAGTGTGTGAGCGGACAAACCGCCGGCGTCAAAACACAGAAAACAGAGCTGAACCAGACCATAGAAGAGCTGGAGGCCGAGCTGAAGGCCAGAGAGGAGGTCTGAGCACCACACCATCACTTCAAACCACCCATCCACTGCTTCACACAGGGCTGAGTGTGTTTATTCCCCACAGGAACTGGAGAAGCTGAAACAGGAAGTGGAGGAAGCCAGCCAGCTGCAAACACAGAGAGATTCGCTCACTCAGAAACTACAGGTGAATATCGCAGCGTCTAATGATCACGATGCAGGAGACGTCTGTTAGAATGCAGTTACATGAGCCGAAAATTCAAGATATGAGCACAAAAATCACCCTCTTGTATTTGTATCCTATGATATAGTTTAGCAGTATCACACCATCAAGAGCGCTGCTTTTGATCAATATCTGCATGACTGCAAATGTGATTTATACTGTACAACAGGAACATAAACAAGAAGTTAATATAGTGTTTTAGACACAATGTCATCTGTTTTGCTCAATTTCACTAATGAAAATGGTTTTAAACAAAGCCACAGCGGATCTGTTGAGCATCAGCACATAGTGGTGATTCGTTTCTGAATGAATCAGGTGTTTGAATGAATTAAGTGAGTCAATGATTCAATGACTCATTCATAAAGACAGTCACTTGCTTCGTTTCTGAATGAATCAGGTGTTTGAATTAATAGAGTGAGTCAATGATTCAAAGACTCATTTATGAATACAGTAATTTGCTTAATTTCTGAATGAATCGGCATTTGAATTAATCAAGTAAGTCAATGATTCAATGACTCATTCATAAAGACAGTCACTTGCTTCATTTCTGAATGAATCAGGTGTTTGAATGAATTAAGTGAGTCAATGATTCAATGACTCACTGATAAAGACAGTCAGTTGATTTGTTACTTAATGAACCAGCCATTTAAATAAATTGAGAGAGTCAATGATTCAATGACTCATTCATAAAGACAGTCACTTGCTTCATTTTTTGCATGAATCAGGCGTTTGAATGAATCGAATGAGTCAATAATTCAAAGATGCATTCATAAATACAGTCATTTGCTTCATTTCTTAATAAATCAGGCATTTGAATGAGTCAATGATTCAATAACATTCAAAAAGACAGTCACTGGCTTAGAGTCACTGGCTTAGTTTCTGAATGATTCAGGCATTTGAATGAATCAAGTGAGTCAATGATTCAATGACTCATTCATAAAGACAGTCACTTGCTTCATTACTGAACGAATCGGTTGAATAAATGACTCTCTCATTAACTCCTACTGGCGATTTTAGTTCATAATTTAGAGCACATGTGTCAAACTCAAGGCCCGCCACATTTTATATTGTCATCCACCGGCAGAAACATAAATTGGAGCATATGCCAACGAATGTAAATCAGTATTTGCATAGCATAACAGTAATAAATGTATCTGTTTAGCACGTGTCCCGTAAAATCACATCTACTGTCCTGCAACAGATCTATAACCAGGTGATCACCCCAGCGCAGAGTCATAAAATAATAATTGCTCATTTGAATCAGTAAATTTGAACGAAAACAATACATTATAAAAATGAAAAGAAGCAGGTTTTTTTGTGATCAGATCAACCGGTAAACTCCTGGAAAGTCTAAGGATCCAGTAAGCGAATGCATTCAAACAATAAGTTCAGAACAGCGCTAATGCAGAGAAAACACGGCCGATGTCATCAGAGATGGCGGAGATAATCGCGCTCACGTACAGATGTCAGTAAAAACAAACAGCAAGCTATTTGGCTTAAAAGCAGGAGTGTTTTATACTGGATGCTGGCTGAAGGTGTTTTAGATTACGCAGTAGTCAGTGGTTTAGTAATTCTGGATCAGTCAGGTCAAGGTAGCTCGTTCAGTGGTCTTTTGGCGCCCCCTGTGTTCCTGTTTGGCATCGCAGATTGACTTGTGCTGTAAACTACTAAATGTAATGTAGAAATGTTCATTTTCTGTGAAGCTGCTTCGCAACAGTGTATCATGAAAATGCTATACAAACAAATGTGAATTGAATTGTAAACAATTATTAATGAATTTATTTATTTATTGTGGCACTATATACATTCATTGCGAATTATGAAAATGACTTTTTTTTTAGTACTTTAGTTTGTATTTATTTATTTTTGGGTTGAGCACCGGCACGCCAAAGTCAATTTCTGCGTATAAATCGCACGCCAAATAGAAACAGAAAATCGTGCTATACGCACTTTCATGAGACCGGGCTCAGTTGTTTTTTTAAATGCCATATCTGTCACACGTTCTTAGCAGCTCACAATTATTTGTTGTGCCATAAATGTGACAAAAAAGTTTTTTTAACAAAGTTAATGTTTGATGATACTTGTCTTTATTATTTACTTTGATTTATGGAGTAATGTGGATTTATTAACCTGATAAATTAAAGGATTTATGTTAAAATAACACAGAGCAATAACATATATTTTTACATCTATGCAAATGCATATGCAATATTTGTAACTTAAGTAAATTAACTTTTATAAAATAAAGAGACAGTTATTTAACACAGTCTTAAAGTTACAGTTACAACCGGCTCTTTGATGGCAGCCGTAATGCTGAAGTGGCCCTCAGTGAAAATGTGTTTGACACCCCTGCTTTAGAGTATCATTTCATTTTAAAAGTCCTTTTATGTTTTAATATTTGTAAAAAAAAATAATACCCATTTATTATTATTATTTCTAAAGCTATTTTTTGTAGTGTTAATTCAGTGCTTTTCTCATTTAACACAATAATGATTTTAAATGATCTTTGGGTGGGTAGTTTCTCATCCAATTGATGTGTAATTAATAGGCAATTAATTAGATGAATTAATCAGCACGTCATGCCATTAATTACAGTCAAACCAAAATTTATTCAGACCCCTTCAACATTTCTCACATTATCACAGTTTATTCGCTATAGTTTAGAAAATGGTAATAAAATATGAACTCCGAGTTAAAGTGTGTCAGAACAAACTCATCTTGATAATGTCAGATAACTTTGATAGAAAGGTATGTAATGAATTCGGCTGAATAGCTGTCAGCTGTTAAATTTAAGAACATAATTAGATAAAACCAATTTAGCTCAACTAATTACCAAGCAGTGCTTAATTCTGTTCAGTCTGTGGTGTAAAAAGATCACATTAGCAATTAAAGAAAAACACTGAAGCAAAACATGCTCAGCTCAAAGTGATTGAATAGTTTCTGATCCCAAATTTTACTGGTAGTCCACTGTATGAAGAATTTTTAGGTGTAATATGTCACAGTTTACTTTATTTTGCTATCATCGCTTACATAAATGAACTATAGTGTCCTGTACACACTAGTAACAAAATATCAAAAATGATATCTGGTGTCTGAATAATTTGTGACTAGATTAGACGTGTTAAAGTAAGTAATGGCGAGCGTTCTCGTCCTCAGGAGACGGAGCTGAGGAACGTGGAGCTGGAGTGTCAGCTGCTGGATCTGGAGCAGCGTCTGGAGAACCGGCGTCTGGAGAGAGAGAGCTTCAGGAGGAGTCTGCGCTCGCTGCTGGAGCTACTGCACCGAAAGATCTTCCAGCTGACCCAGCTACGAGACAGTCTGACCAAACTGATGGAGAGCGACAGCAGCTAGAGACGAGACGCTCACACACACACAGAGAGACACACACACACACACACTCACACAGAGA